CCTCCAAATTGGCTCACTTATTTATCATGTGGGCATACATTTTTTGTTTTATTCAGCATCTTTTGACATTAATAAAATAAATTCACTGCAAACCAAATCATAAAATACAAAAGGAACTGATCTGCCAAACGTACAGGAAAAAAAAGAAGCATCAATTAAAAGATGGCAGAAACACTAACTGAACCAGACAGAATAAATACTGTACTGATGCAATTTTGACAAAGCATTTATATTATTATTATTATTATTATTATTTTATGAGTTTTGTGTTTATTGTTTGTAAATAAACATTTATTTAAATAGTTACAAAAAATTTAATAGTAGGCTGTTTCATAGTTTAAAATAGTTACAAGTGTGCATGTGCAAAGTGTGCCGAGCTCACACGTTTTTCAGGATGAATAGCGATGTTTCTATGGAAAGCCACTGGGATTGAACAAATTCAACCAGTTAGTTTATACACCGTCACACAGGCGTGATGTACTCTAAACTGATTTGTGTTCAACACTCCTTTAGGATCATAGATCAGGGTGTCTGCGGGGTTTTAAAAGGTATTAAACAGTTGGTGAGCAACAATTAAGGCCATAAAAAAGTATTAAAAAGCAAGAAATGAGGTATTAATTTTTTTGAGCGACTACCCAACTGTACGTTTTCCCCCAGTCTATCTCAATGTCCTGTAACAATTTAAATACTCTGTCTTGGGTTAGAGTTAAACAACAAATAATTGAATATAGGTCAGTGTTTTTAATGAGGCAAAGAAGTCACTATGTTCCTGTAACTGTACCAATACTAAGTGAAGTGGGGGGAAATGGCACTAAGCTGTTGCTTTATAATTTGTCATCCCCAACTGAAGTTGAAAASGTTGCCWCTACAGTTGCAGCTCAAAGTTGTGTTGGTATTAAAAGATATTGTGACAATGTTAAATTGAACTAAAAGGGGACATATCATGCAAAATCCAAATTTTCAGCTGTTAAATACATTTTGTTGTGTGCTWAGAGTCTCTATGAGGTAAAAACTGTATTTAGTCTCTCCTGGTGCTGTGAAGATATCTTTATATTCTGTTTGGGTCATATTTTTCAGTTTGTTCAATTTTCTACCAGTTTTCTGAGTCTATTACGTCAAATTATCTGAAAGGGATTTACTATATTAGACCTGTACTTACCGACTACATTTTCCTCATCTTAATTCTTGTCCAGTTCTGGGTCAGACTCTGGTTCTGGGTCAGACTCTGGTTCCAACATGTAAGYCTGGATGGYCACGTCTTCTGTTGTTGAKATCTTTTAATGAAATTGTAAATAAAATGGTTCAGCAAGCTAGAAAAGGCAATCCCCTCTCCCTCAAACTGAAGTGGATCGGTCTGGAAGCCGGAGGGAGGCGGGGCTTGAAGTGTCTTAAAGGAACAGTATCAAAAACAGCTGATTTGAGACACACACCAGAAACTTGGTGAAAGAGAAGCTGGTAAAGTTAAAATAAGAAGGAATTCAGACCAAAGCATTGWAGTTCCACTTCATAAAGACCCCAAATGAATGATTTAAATGTAAAAAGAAAGGATTTAAAGGCATGATATGTCTACTTTAAGAATTTCTGTATACCCAGATTAAATTGAGTTTTTTGAATTTCTAAGCTATAAATCTGCTTTTTGAGTTTGTTAAATTTGCACGGTTCTATTGGTGTTTTCACAGCAACCTCAGCATTTTCTCAGTTGACTTGTGACCTCAAAGTGTTAGGCTCCACTAGTACTCCTAACTACATATGGTCAGTTGGTTTGCAAGATGAACAAAAAAAAAAATCTCCATCTCATTTGTGTAAGGATTATTTGTTAAATAAAACGTCACCGTGGTGACAGCTGAATCCACCTGCCCGTCTGTGTCTTTCCTGCAGATTTGAAGCYTGCACCAACACCACAGCAGAGGTGTACATGCGCTCATACCTGACTCCGTGCATCAACGACTGCGGGACGTACGGCCAGTGCAAGCTCCTGCGCACCAACAACTACCTTTATGCAGCGTGCGAATGCAAAGCAGGTYAGATGCTGCGGCAGCGCGACGCTGTCGGGGTTTGTGTCAGGCTGACACGAAACGCTTTGCTCCTCTTCGCTCGCACATTTGAATCTGTGCCTGCTGGGAGCTAAATTCAAACGAAGTTGTCTAAGGTTTTTTTTTAATGTCCGACAAGTTTTTACATAGCTGGAGAAATAATTAGTGTCAAACATTAAATGATATCCTTTTTTTTTCTTAATAAAGACAGCAAACCACATCCATTTAGTAATGATTGTGTTGATTTTAGGCTTTCTAAGAAAAGTATGAGGAAGTTGGAAGATTAAATTGTTTGAACGAAGAAAACAGGAAAGAGCCACTGACAGTACTGCAGGTACCACTGTTCAATGTGGCCGTGTGTAAATCCCCTACTAAGAACCTGTTTTTATAAGACAATAAAACGGTCCTAATCACAACAGCCTTTTAATAAAAGATGATCTTATGAAACTAAACTAAGCGTGTCCTCAGAGGCTTTTTAAAATCCTGCCTTTGATCTTCATTTATTGCAGCCCGGTTCTTTTTTTCCCCACCTTTAACTTCATTGTCAWACTTCATGTGTGTCTGTGCTTCCTGCCAGACCCTCTGGGCTCAGCACTTGCCCTTGGCCCCTCCGATTCTGCAAAACCTCTGTTTAACAGTTAGTTCTTTTATAGGTTTGGTATTAAGAAAAAAAAGGCAGAACAGGTTTTCCTTTTTAGTCCTATTCGATCTATTGTTTGATAAGAATATTTTGTAAGAAAAGCATTTCCAGGAGGTTTCATTGTGTTGGATAAACAACTTAAAATGCCTGATTTAAAAAAAAATACAAAACACATTTTACATATTTGAGGAGGTACGGTTTTTTTTAAAGTGAAAGATTGTAAAAACAAACTGCTTCAACTACCATAAAACATTTCTTTTTCAAGTTTTTGCAAGGTTTTCATTTAGAAGCTGAAAAAAACACGATTTGTCCTCAGAAAAGCTTCTCTCAGATCACCTCATGTATGTTCGTGTCCAGGACTGATGGTGTTTCTGTCTGCCATTGATCTGTATCACTGGATTGGACATCACGTGACTTATCGTGCACCACACAGGTGCCATTGCTATGCATTGAGTTTTGACTCGGGAACATCCATGAATTGTGGTAAAAGGGATTCAGCAGACAGTCATGCAAGAAATATCAAAAATGGATGCAATATTTTGCCATAAATTAACACTACAACAACAAGATCACAAGATCAAGGTTATCACATTTTACAGGTCATTAAAATATTTTTATTTTTTTAAAAAATATTGGAGATGCGGAAAGTAGGTCAGTTCTGCTAGCTTGATTTTGACAACCTTATGTTGGGTAAACAAACGAAAAGACAAATTTGCTATTACAACAAATTATTTTTTTTTTAATTAATATTGTTATTATGTTAGGATAACATTGTGAGAGGTACAATTGGTGGACAACAGTAAAATTACCTATACTACAACTAGGCTGAACTGTGTAGATATTACTGGTACTGATGTTCTGTCCAGTCAGCATATGGTATATCCTGTAGTTTATGATTATATATCAGAGTAAAAAACTCTAACTTTTTTTTCCTCCACCGTACATTTCATAAGCTAAGCGGTGGAGGGGCCGACCGCATTTATTTTATGACCAGCTGGAGGAGTTTGTCTTTAGTCACTTTAGGGCGAATGAAGAACCAGGAAACAAATGCAAAATTAGAATTATATACAGTATATATACATTAGGGGTGCAACAATACACATACCTGTATCGAACAGTGCTGTATCAAACAATACAGATTTTATCAACTTGTCTTCTGAAGATGGCACACATGACTCTTAGTTTTTTATGTGATGGAAAGGGGCTTCTACTGTAAATATGTTAGCAAAAACCTAAAATGAAAAGTTCCCAGACTGCTTATAGATTTATCTCTTGAGCAAATACATATTTTTTTACATTTCACAACATCGACAATTTTCTCAGCTTTAATTTAAGCCATATTTTATAGAAATCGGGTAAGAACTGAGGGTGCTATGAATATTTTTGTGACAGATTGACGTGCATCCCACATTGAAACTCTACCGTTTTGTTGACATGACTCAATGCATAGCAGTGGCTCCTGTGATGATGCGTCACTAGCTATAGCGGCTATAGGCGATGTCCAATCCAGTAATATAGATCAATGCTGTCTGCTGTAGGCTGGAATGGCTGGGGATGCACCGACAACTCCGAGGCCTACTCCTACAGCTTCCAGCTCCTCTCCACTCTCCTGCTCTGCCTCAGCAACCTGATGTTCGTCCCGCCCGTGGCCATCGCCATCCGCAGCCACTACCTGCTGGAGGCCTCCGTCTACATCTTCACCATGTTCTTCTCCACCGTGAGTGACTTCGGAGCGATCAAACTTGTGTCTGACAGGGGCGCCTCTGCGTTCGACGGGACGCGCAGACAAAAGGGAAAGCCGCTCCGCTGATTCATATTCAGCAGCTGTTTAACGAGACGTGACACGAACAGAGTCAGTCACTGTGAACGAGAGAAGTGAGCTGATTGTGATCGGCATTTTAGGAGTTGCTTCCTGGTTTGTTTGTGTTGAGCGCGGGCTCAGAGATGCACATAAACACAAGTGAGCAATACAAACCTGTGACATCGGTGTCGTGCTGTTTCCACTGATTGACAGTTGATGATAAATATGCATGAGGGCGATGATGACATGCAAGATCTATCAGTGGTAATTTAAACATTGATTACAATTATAATCAAGTTTTTTGTATATAAAAAGTGCTTTTCTTTATTAAAAATGTTTACCTTAGAGGAGACACATATGCAGATAAAGTGCTGCTATTTATAAGTAAAGCATAAAATCTCCAGAACTAGATTTATTTACATCACCTTATTGTTCRTATTTTTGTACTGACATTCATACTTCAGTTTCTTAAAAACTGTTTTCTGTAACTTCCACCTGAAATTATTCTTGAGTTCAGACAGCGACAGGAGCAGTTGGATGAACGTTGATGTTTTTTTTTCTTCTTTGCTGTTTCCATCTGAGTGAGATGTGAAAAACAGCTTCAGAAATTAACTTAATTCATGTATTTTTTTAATTAAAAGTGCAAAATAGAGAGAAAATACCAGAAAGTAACAAGGACAGTGGGTGTTTAAATAAGTTTCCGGTTTAAACAGACGATGACTCCTTTTATCTCCCTATTCCTCCCTATGGGTTAGTTTATGTTTGAACGTGTTTGTTTGCTGATTTACCTCATAGATTTTTCAGCTCCTTGACACTTTTGTTTGTGCTACTTCACAGTTCTGTATACTTTTGGAAAAATACAGACATTACTGCTGCTCAAAGCATTGTTGTGCACAGAGAAGCTCAAGGTTGTGCAGCTAATACTTAAGAGGAATAAACAAGATAAAAAAAACCTTCTGACTGACATTTATTCAAAAACCTTTCAGCTGCAGGTCTACAAAATGTGTTGCAGCAAGTTGCCAGGTTCAGATGAATAATTGAGTTGTTTCGATGAGAAGAAAGTTTTTTTTTTTTTGTCTTTCTTTTTGCACCAGAGACAAATACATAGAAGAAAACAGTGCAATGTTAGCTGTGTTATGTTGAAGCTGCAGCACATGTGCAGGTCAGGGATTTATTTTGTGAAAAGGAAAAAAAAAAAGAATAAATACTAGTTTGTTTATCAGAACGCTTTACAAAAGTGAGTTCTGTTACAAAAAGAGTTGGATGTAGTTTGTCAAATATTAAACATCTAAAAGCCAAAACCCAAAAGAGATTCTTTTTAAAACTGACTGAGACACTGAAATTAGCTTAACTTTTTGTGTCAAAATGACCCAGGATGCCTCAGTTTTAAAGGGATCCCTGATTAGTTGTAACATTAGACTTTATTTGAGTATTTTAACTGTAAAATAAAAACTGCAAAAATACTGTAGGCTGTTTGGTTTTGTAAATTTTTAAAAATGTATTTTAACATGGACTGAGCCATTTTATTTACAGACAAAGCATTCTGGGTAAATGATGACGTGGTAGAAATGACTCAGCCTGTAACTGAAAATATGGATGGAGGACAACAGAGCTGCTTCATGGAAGAAGAACCCCAGCTTAGCCTGTTAGCTTTAGCATTAGCATCGAAGCTATCACCATATACATATGTATTAGCTCAGCGCTACACATTCTCCTCTCGTCACTGAGGTCCTCCATCCACATGACAGAGAGGGGAACGCAAAAAGGACTCAGCCTGTAACTAAAAATACAGATGGAGGACCTCAGTTTAGCTTGTTTGTCGCGCTAGCGCTGAGCTAATAAGGCAACATAGTGTTGGCGCTAGCGCAAAGGCTAACAGGCTAAGCTGAATTTCTTCTTCCATGAAGCAGCTCTGTTGTCCTCCATCCATATTTTCAGTTACGGGCTGAGTCATTTTTGCGTTCCCCTCTCTGTCATGTGGATGGAGGACCTCAGTGACCTTGTTTGTCACATTAGCACTGAGCTAATACATA